TTTCAGACCGGTTGGTGTTGAACTTGTTTGTGAGGATAGGAAATTAAATTTTCAAGCTCTTTACTACAGCCCAGTTGAAGCATTAAGGTTGTAGCATACTAAAACTTGTGTTTTTGTAATAACATCAAAATAAAAGAAACCTCTGAAGTTCTAAGATTCTCCCTTTTTTTCTAAGAGGCCCAATGTTTTGATTTGACTGAAGTATCAAGTGTTCAAATGCCAGAATTTGTCTTAAATCCAAGTTCAACAAACCTCAAGTTCACTTCTGCTTCCTGGTCTTCTGACAGATCCATATGGCTCAGCCTCTGTGGCCAACAAAAGCTTCCAACAGAAGAGGCGCTTAATTAAAAGGGGAGCCAGGATGAGGACGTTTAAAACTCTGTCTGTGTCCGTTTAGTAACACCCAGGCCTCTTTCTTTTCCAAAGACTTTTCCTTTCAGGCTGAATTTATAGCACTGCACCAATGGTATTAGAAAACTGACCATGCCAGGTTGTTAATGAGGCACAGACTACATCAAAAGATGGCTTGAGCAATGTTGACATCTAATGGTTAATGATTTTTATTCCGTATAACTGTGAGGCCTGTTTGACATAATTCTTATCGTCTGCCAGTCTACAATGGTCCTCAGGGACTCTCTGCAGCATCTGACAGTATAAACTGCTTTGTGATACATTTACATCATCATAGCATTTTTCAAACGGTGGCACTAAAGAGCACAACTACAAGCTATAACGCAACAGTTCGGGCACTCATTTGAAAGAGATCATACCGAAAGAGTGTCCCCCGTTGATCACATTTTATACTCAATATTTCAAGGACACGTAAATGGTTTCATATTTTAGTGGCAAATTGGTCAAACCTTTCGTTTTGTTAAACAGTTGATTAAAAAAAAAAAAAAGCCTGTAAAATGTAAAACCAGTTGAGATACTTGTTTGAACGCTCGAGTGCAATTCCTAAAATAGTTGGAATGTTCGTGGTTTGCCAAGGTCGTAATAGGTTTTGTGGATGTAGAAATTATGCAGAGAATAAAATCCTGTGGGGAAAGAAAATGCATGATTTCTTCAGTCGGGTTGAGCATTAACTCTACAATTTGGAAACAAAGCTTTGGTGCAAACCCTGCTGTATAGTTTATTGGGGCAGTTTGAAGCTCTGCTACATAAAGCGTTCTTGGTAAAATGGTGACATTTTGCTCTTAGAAAACATGGTGAAGTCACTGAAACAACCAAAGTACTGTGTGAAGGATTCAGGCAGGTGTGGAAAAATGCTGTACTGTAAGAAAAATGTTTGAAAGCTCAATCATCCCGGTAGATATATCACAAAAAAAGGGTTAAATCATGTCATCTGGACCGTTTCTTTTTGGGAGAAATGTTTCATCTTTCGTCCGAAAGACTTCATTAGTCTGAGGCCTGCCAACACAGATCTGTCTTATAAATAGCACCTCCATTTTTTTCATTCAACCTTTATTTATACAGGCTAATCTCATTGAGCCACGAGGACTCATTTACAAGAGGGACCTGTTCCAGACAGAACATATAAAGTACAGACAACAATAACAATAAACTACAGTAAAAAAAAAAAGCAGTTCAAATAAGAGTAGTGAATAAAACATTAAGTCAGGGTGCCGTAAAAAAGGGTGAAATACTAAAAACAAGAACATGGGTGCCTTAATTTTTCCATTGACATTATCAAATGTTTGAAACCCCTTAGAGAAATTAAGGTGGACAACTTCAGTTCTTGTTTCAAGGTGTTCCAGGTGCAGGAGCTGAGTAGGAAAATACCTTTTTGCCAAGTTCAGTCTGCACTGAGGGAACGCTGCAGGTAATGATGTCCTGAGAGCGCATGTTGTAACTGACCGTGTGACGTGGGAGGAGATATAAGAAAGTAGCAGACCAAGGAGGGATTTATAGATGAAAATGAACCAGTGAGAGCCTACGTGTAGATGATGATGACCAACTGACCAAGGAGTACAGGGTGCAGTGATGGGTACGGTAGTTACAACCAGTTATGAATCTTAGCGCACTGTGGTAGACAGCATCCAACATCTGCAAGCAGCTGGCAGGAGCATTCGTGTATATAATGTCACCATAATCAATGGCTGGTAGGAAGGTAGCTGTTCCAAGGCGTTTTCTGGCATTCAGAGTTAAGCAAGATCTATTTCTGAAAAAGAAACCCAGTTTTAATTTCAGTTTCTTTATCAGGTTTTTGATGTGTTTCAAGCCAACCCTTTGTGGAATTCCCAGAAACTGACTTTACACATGCAAAACGTGGACCATCCGTCCAAAACAATCATCTTCAAATCACTTCTTGGTCTGCTGCCTTCATACATCTCCTCCTACAGTTACAGCGTGCGCTCTCAGGACATTATTACCTGCAGTGTTCCCTCAGTGAGGACTGAACTAGGCCAAAGGACCTACTCCGCTCCTGTTTCCTGGAATATCTTACAAAAAGATTTGAAGCTCTCGACCTTTGACCTCTCTAAGTGGCTTTAAGAATCTGTTGGACTCCTGGCAGGGACCAATGCAGACATGTTCCTGTTTTTAGTTTTCTACATTCGCCTTAGAATCTAGCTGTTTTTGCTACTTTTTTGCCATCTTATTTTAATTTGTTAAAAAAATAAATAAATAAACCACCTGTATGTCTCTTTTATGATTGTCTATTGTTGTCGCTGTTGTCATCACTCTTTAATAAATCAGGTCTCTCTTGTAAATGAGTCCTCGAGGCTCAATGGGATTAACCTGTCTAAATAAAGGTTGAATGAATTTTGCAATCTGTCCTAAAACATTTGATTGTTACGCGTGATGATCGATTGTTTTGGACGGACAGTCCTCCTTTCTGCATGTGTAAAGTCAGTTTCTAGGAATTCCTCAGCAGGTCGGCTTGAAACACGTCAAGCAGGTGCTATTTATAAGACAGGTCAGGGTTGGCAGGCCTCAGACTGATGAAGTCTTTCAGGTGGAAGACGAAACGTTTCTCCCAGAAATAATCAGTCCAGATGACCTGATTTAACCCTTTTTTGTGCTGGACTGTAAGAACAATTTCACAAATAGCCGTTGTATCATTTTTATGTTTTTTTACACCTGCCTAAATTTCCATTTACTTTCCACAATACCACATTTTTTAAACGAGTGTTGCATTCTTTATTGTGATATTACAACCTTAAATCTGAAAAGTTGGGACGTTGTGTAACTGGTGAACCCCTGCCCATCTTTACTTCTAAGAGCTCCGGCTTCTTTAAATTGTTGCATGCCCATTCTTCTTACTGACCAGTTGTCCTAATAAGTTACAAAATATTCCTCTAGCTTTTTATTAATTAACACTTATTTTTACAACCTTTTGTTGACTCTGCCCCAACTTTTTTGACATATTGATGCCATAAAACACAAAATTATTGTAGTTTTTTCCAAACAATTATATATATATATATATATGAATATAAACATTTGGTATGTTTACTGTGTTCCACTGTGAATATTATTATTATTTTAGATTAGCAGATCATTACATTCTGGTTTTATTTACATGTTACACAAAGTCCTAACTTTTTTTGGAACTGGGGTGTATAAATCAAAACCTACATCTGTAGCTTTTGTTCTTCAAAATGATGGATATGAACATAACACAACCTATTGGCCTATTCTTTAGTTTCCATCATGCTACGTCTAAAAACAGCAGCGCTGCTATTTAAAATAAACTCCTCAATACGAAGAATTGGAGTAAAACTTTTAGAATAAGCCTTCTATTTTAGAGCAGTGTTTGTTTTAAATGCTTTAAGTCTTTAGTCTCTTGACTACAATAGGTTTTGTTTGTCATTTTCTGTCTCCACTCACAATCTTCCCACTTCTCTTGAATCTCTTTTGTGTTTTTGGTTTTCTTTGGATTCAGAACTTATGTTGCTTTGAGCACCCTTTCCTATTTTGTTAATTACTCTTGTCTGCCCATATTCTTTTTGAAGGTGAGGCTAGTGCGCTCCAATCCCCCTAGCCCGCAGTTCAAAGACTCTTTCGACGCCTCCTACCAGGTGTACAAACTCTACCAGATGGCCATTCACAAGGATCCTCCTAGCAAAGTCTCCGAGAGCCAGGTCAGAGGGTGGGGGGCATAGGTCAGCTCTCTTCTACCCTGAGAGGGAGGAAGAGGGTCGACAAATCTGGGGACCTTCGGTCACATCAAAGTTTGTTTTACTTGCTCTGATCAGTCTCTTTAAAATAAATGAAATGATCCGTTGGTGTTTTCATGAACAAAATCACCACAGATTGAAGTTTTTGTTAATCATTGTTACTAAAACAGGCAGGAATCGACTGAAAAAGAGATCTATGACCTCAGTGGGATTTGCCTGGTTAAATAACATTTTATCAATAAAATTATTGCTTTTCTCATATTGTATGATAAATATAAGATTATCATTATTTAAAACTAAATAAACAGCAAATTTCAGCAAAGTCATCCTGCACTTACTTGTTGCAGAAAATGAAGCTAAAAACTAAAGTGCATAATATTAGCTAAAAGCATAAAGCTAGCTAAAATTAATGTCAGGCTAAAAACTAAATGAAGCAAAGCAGTAGTTAGATGGTAATGTTATCAAAATCACAATCGGAATGCTTTTATTATCCTTGCACTGTGAAGTACAACTAAATTACTTTCCATACAGCTGTCCTAAAGATGGACAGAAGTGTACAGGGGGCTGCAGCTTCAAAGATGTGCTGCCCCTGTTATACCAATACCTGCTTAAAGTAGCAAAAGTTTAGCTAAACGCTGAAAGTGGGACTGCCATTTTCTTTATCTAGAAGTAGATGATCAGCTCCTTAGTCTTTGAGGTGTTGAGGAGCAGATTGTTCCCCCTGCACCAAGCGTTCAATTGTTCCACCTCATCCCTGTAGGTGGACTGATACCCCCCACCCACTGATGAGCTCCCCCACTGTGGCGTCGGTCACAAATTTGACTATGGTGTTGCTGTGGTGAGCAGAGGTGTGTAGAGGGCATAGAGCAGGGGGCTCAGTACACAGCCCTGTGGGGCTCCTGTGCTGATACTGAGGGCCATGGATGTGTGACAGCCAAAAGACTATCTAGAAGCTAAATGCAGCAAGTGCTAGATAGAAGTTAAAGGTATTCATCTGCTGATTAAAAGGTAAAAAGTACCAAAAAGGTTAATTAGAAGCTTAAAATACTAAAAGGGTATTCGGAAGCGTAATGTAAAAAGCTGATTACACCCTGTTTTGATATATGAAAAGCTAAAATAGGTCCAAGAATGCAGAAGTAGTTGAACTGCAAAGAATATTTGTAGAAATCAAATAAGAAAACAAAAGTGTGAATGCTGACTCAGCATTTTTACAGTACATTAACCACCTAGTGGGTGTTCTGATTCCTTCTTTTTGCAAGCTTCAGGTCCGTAGCACTGACAAAGATTAAATCGGATTTAATGCAATTCATCTTTTCTTGTTTTTGCTTTGAAAATAGGCCCAAAATCTCTTCACGAAAAGAAAGAAATGACAAATATGAGTGTTTATAAACGTGATTGAAAAGAAAAATACAAACCAGAGGAAATTGTTTCCATACGCCATGGTCGAGAGCGGTGTTGCTCCAGGTGTTTGAGTTTTGGTCAGACGGTCTAATTATTAACTTTAAGCTGTTTTTGTGCGGTGCTTTGTCAGATGAACCGTCTCAGACCTCACACCTCACACCTTTACCTCGTCGCGAGTTCATTACCACCTTCCGTCACAAAAATCCTGAACGACTGAACTGGAAACTCGTATAAATTTCACATAAGCAGTGACGTAAGGGTCTTTCTTTATTGTCTGCAGACGCTTGAAGAGTTTTTCCTTTTTTTTAAGGGAAGTCGTGGTGGACATGAGAATTTGTCTTTCTTAGATGATGTAGTCAGAGTTTAGGATTTCAGGGCTCTCGCTGACATCGTGTTGAGAGATGAATCGTGAATTCACTCCAAGTGATTTGTGAAAACTGGGCAGTGCACTGGCCTCATCTTCAAGCTTCTCATCAGTCTCCAAGACTGTTTGAGCACACAACATTATTTCTTTCTTATGTACAAAATCTCAAACATAGCAAACCTGCTGTGTAACCAGCTTGGAGACTGATGTCTTAACACCTTAATGCACTTTTATCTCATTTTTGATTTCTATACCTCCCTTCGTTCTTATATTTAAAATCTATTTTCTAACTACGGTACTCGCAGTCGTTTTGAAACCTTTGTAAATGCCCTTCCACCTCCTCTCCTCCACACCTTGTGCTTGAAGGTGAGGTTAGTGCCGGTGAACTTTGAGGACCCTCAGTTCGAAGCGTCCTATGAGCAGTCGGTGGCGCTGTACGCCCGTTACCAGATGGCCATTCACGGTGACGACCCCAGCGAATGTAGTGAGAGCGAGGTACTGCATGATTATTATTCTACACCTGCTTGGAAGCTACTGGAAATGCTTCATGATGCTCTTTTTTTAAGTATACTGTATTTTTTTTTTAAATTTTGGACTGTGCAAACAATCAAGAATTTTACAGATGTTACCTTAAGGATCCCTTTACAAGAGATCCTTCCTGTCTACAGCCATCAGTATCCATAACATGTCTTAATGAAATGAGGATAACGAGTTACAACAACAAATAATTACCCTCTGGGATTAATAAAGTATTTTTGAATTGAATTTTGAATTGAATTAAACTTTTGGGAAGTAGCAAAATGCTCTTTCCACAGTATTGTGTTGATCGCAAGGATTTTACTGTAAATAATAGACGTCAAGTTAGTGGAAAAATAACTCTCGTTTGCATAGTACAGAAATAGACCGGATCTTTTCTACTAAAGTTCTGTGAAAAGGTTAATGAATGTTTAATATCTCTAACCAGTATGTCACTGGGCTTCAGCTCTTTGGTGAATGACATTCTCCAGAGAAAGTCTCCAAAATGTCTCGAAGCTTTTGCAATGGTTCCTAATTTCCTTGTTAAATGTAGATGCTTGCAACCTTCTTGGTTGAATTGTGAACACATTCAAAATATTCAGAGTTGTTGTGAGTAAAGCTCGACCGATATGGACATTTTTGCTATCGCCGATACCAATATCAGGAGGTAAAGTTTAATAACTGATGTAATGGCTGAATTTTTTTAGCTTTGTCCACCCCCAAGAATCTAAGTAAGCAGCTAGTTTTAAATCTGTTTTAAAGCTTAAAGTCTTGAAACGGTCTTCATAACATGCATTCACATTTTCACCATGAAGTTATCAAGTGTGTTACAAAATATAAATTAAACAAAGAAACACCCTTCCCTGTTCAGTCTTTAAACAGTCACATATGGTGAAGGTCTAATTTGTATTGACCGCAGCAAAGTTTATTTTTCTTTGTAGAGAAGTAAAGATTTCAGACAAACAATTCATTTAATTGAGGACGACAAAAATAACGTTGCGAACACTGATATATTTTACCTCTACGTTAGATTTATTGTTCTGGATAAAGTTTTACAAGGAAATAGCCTATGCTAGGTTATCTAAACGTTAGCTTGCTAACTTGAGAGGCACATAGCTAATGACAAGCGGGTTGGAGGATTGAAGAGAATTTATTATTGTTGTTTTTTTTATTTATTTGTTTATTTTACAGATCAGTTTCAATAAACTTACCATGGTCTGTTCAGCAAAATACACTACACAGTATTGCTCGCTGCTTCGGCCGTGCTGAAAGTGAAACTTAAAGTGAACGGCCATGACTTGAAAGTTTTCCCTATGCGCCCTCTGCTGGACACATTGTACAATTATGGCAGGTTCCAGCATTTTAGGGGTGAAAATTAGAATATTTATCTCGGCACATAATGAGACAATTATCTCCGATACTGATATGTCCCCAAACGTCTATACCGTCCAAAAATATCGGCCCTATCGCTGTATCATCCAGGCTGTAGTTGTAAGCATCTCAAACCTGTCAAAATTTAGTTTCTAGAGCTTGGCAGCTGCCAAAGTGGGTACAAAGTGGGCTGAGGTAAGCAACCAAATAACGACACGGCCCAGAATACAGTTTTGAAAGCTGTGTCCCCCAAAAAAACGGGCTGTGATCGTCAAAAACTGGACACGTGAAAAGCAGCTGCGCTACTTGCTGGTTACTTTGGAGCAAACACTCAGAATTCAGCGAGTCCGCAAAGGAAAAGTGGCTAAACTAGCTCTCAACAGTCACCGCTCAGTAGCTATGTTTACATGCGCAAAATTCTTTGATCGGATTGAAATGTATTCGGATTAAATAATCTGAATATATTGTTTACATGGGCACAGTCAGATCATGACGAGCGTTCACATGCAGCAGGCTTTATCAGAATAGAAGTACTGACATGCACAGAGTGGTAAATGCTCCGTTAAAAAAACACAGAAGAAGTAGTTCTACTTTTGTGATAAACGTAAACAAACCTGAGCGCCCAAAATGGACCCGCGACAGGTTTTAATGACGGTGGAGACGTTACTGCACTCCCTGATTGAGCTACAGGTAAAACAGATCATTTTGAGGTATACCTGGATTATTGAGCATGGACTTTGTTGTTTTCAACCAGTTTGACAAGACTGTCAACAAGGAAGAGGGCCGGCAATGGAGGAGGGGGCGTACCAAAGAGACCATCTTATCACAAGCAGAACTGGTTTGTTCCACTTTGGAGTAAGCTGTTGGAGGAAGAATCAGTTTTGTTGTGCGTTTCCTTGACTGATGAAGCCTTCCAGACCGAAGGCGAAACGTTTCAGCACAAAAAAAGAAACTGTCCACATGACCTGACTGAAAAATGTTGGATTGTAATCCTGGATTATTGAGCATGGACTTTGTTCAGATCATTTTGAGCTCTTTCAAAGTTTCTAGTAGAAATGTTGTCGCTCACCGACCAGCTTTGCTTCCCCGATATATTAGCATCTTGCCAGATGAAAATACTTACGGTTGACATAGGTCGCACATGTGCAGTCAAGCCAGTTTTCCAAAACTGGAATAAAATGATCAGATTAAGTGTTTACATGCACACCGTTCAGATTATGAATCGGCATAAACCACCCATCTCATTCGGATTACAAGTTCATTCGAATCGAGCTGAATCAGCTCAGAATAATCACAGTGGGGCGTTTACATG